TAATAAAGGTAAATGAAGTAAATAATCGAATGTTGAAAGATATGTTCAGAAACGTGGAAAACCTTGAAGTTGCTCGAGAAACTCAGTCAGCCTGCGTGCAGCATGGAAGACAGACAATTTACGTAGAATTAGAAAAACAACACACTGCAATCAAATTCACGTGTAATAATGCATAAAAACGTTATGCATCTATCGACAACGTGTTTCGCAGTATAAACTGAAATGACAACTTTCCCGTCGGATTGTATTCGTGGCAAAGTGTTCGACGAATAATTCTCCTTTAACCTAGACCAGCTTTAACAGGCGAATTTTATCTGAGATTAATTCCAATTCGCAAATTTACGCGATATTTATCGCGTGACTCTGCAATTGGACAAGTGGCCTCAGAAAAGCATGAACAATCGTCGAGAAGCATCGTCGCACACAAGAGAAATGCGCTCCAATTCGCCACGACGTTGTACCTCGAATGCTTATCAACAGGGCTACGCCAGCGAGCACAATATCCAATATCTAGAAGAAAGGTCTTCCGTAGGAAGTATCGTCGAGAGGACTGAGGAACCTGGCATTAATAAGAATAACGTATGATTAAACGGTGTTTATTTTAGTATCGTTACGTATGTATAAGCCAGAGATTGTGACATAGGAGTGCATTGTAAGTGCCAAAAATGAAATTTTTGGAATTGCATAGGCAAGTGGTTTTCCCTTCTGTGTTTATTTATACTATTAAGTAGAGACAGGGAAGAGATCGCGATTCATTCGAAGCTTTTTTCGCCGAAATTTTTTTGATACAATTTCGTTAATCGATCATTCCTCGCACAGATACATAATTACCCAGACGAATCGGTTTACGTGAAAATCCTGCCAAAGCATAACCATGCTGTTCGCGAGAGATACCAACGATTCAATAATTACTCGGAGTTCAGCATGCCGGAGGTAACCGCGATGCAAAAGTTACAACGGCTAAAGGAGCTACAGATGAAACGCGACATTAGCGAAAGATACTATTCTCAAGAAATCAAACGACTGATCGGGGAATATTATTTCGGGCCGAGAGTTGCCTCGCCACCCTTGAAACAGGCCGGGAAATTGCAGAGTTCCAGTTTTCATCCATCCTCGGCAGATCGATTGAGAAATGTATCATCGAGAGACAAACTACCATTTGTATATAAAACATTGAATTTTCTTATTTCTATATTTACACGTTACATTGTTGCTTGGTAAATTTTCTCACTTGTTATCCAAGTGCATTCCAGCAAACACGTGATATAATTTATTTTTCACAGAGATAAAAGATAGAAAATCTCGAATAGAAATAATCGTAGGTTAAGCAGGTTATTAACAGAATGGAATATCCACAAATGGATATATTACGGCTATATATTGTAATTGTCTAATTCAGAATTTGGAACCATGCGGCACAATGACGACAATTACACGGCTGGATTGTGGATGTATTCAAGAGACAACAAGGCCAATTTTTACGACGGCAAGGGGTCGCGTTCTTAGAAGGAATTGCAATCTATCTCAGGAGGAGAAGCTTTTGAAGCTGACTTCGTTGAACCCCCAGGAACACTTATTTTCATCGTTAGAGCAGCCTAAGGATAGGTATCGCACAAAAATGAAGAAACGGCTCTCCATGGATCCGCGAACGTACTCGAAAATCCGGCCTGCCGGTGATCAAGAATTTGAGACGGAGAACGAGAAGAAAAGCGAAGAGCCAGAAACAGAAATTACCGAGCATGATTCGAGAACATTGTCCCCTCAACGAAAATTTAGCGACACGTCCGCGAACTCTTATTAAAATTTATTCTCTATTTATTGTATTTCGTGCATTAATTAATAATAATGTATTATCAGTGAAAATTTCCATATCAATTAGTCTGGTTTCGATCATCGTGAAATTATTGACAACTGTGAACTCTCTCTTTAGACTGAAACTCTTTTGTATCGAATATCAGATCAGATGAATCGCGAATCAATTTCAAATTGCACAAAGTTTGTTATGAACATCCGAAACGATTAAAATCGGAGAAACAATTTTCTAAATTGCAAAATGAACGATCTAAGACTAACAACCGATTCCGTGATCGCGCACATTGGCATCACGTTTCTAAATGCCATATTACATTACGCGCTTTACAAAGCTGTCATCGCCACGATCATGCTGATCAAAGAAACGATACTTTGGTTGTTCCGGAAGCTGATGAAATTTCGTAGTACTAGCACCGACGAATCGACTCAGTCCCCATTGCCATGTAACGTTTAGTCGCTGTTTTTTCGCGGAGAAATTCCTGGTAAGAAAAATACACACGAAATCCGTTGCCTTCCATAAAAATGAAAATTAAATTAAATAAAAATGAAATATAATGTAATTGGAAATCTTCTGCAGAAGGTTTACTGTAATTATGAATGTTACTTTACAAAAGTATACTAACCTCGGCGAATTGTTACTATTAAAATTATTTCACTTTTTCTTTCCAATTTTTGGCGGATTTCATAATGAAGAAACTTTGACAAATGTCCATTCGATAGAGATCCTTGTAAATTCTGGTTGTTCGTTCCAACTTGCGAGTAAATTACTGGTGATTACTACACATGATGAACGCGTTGGAAAATTTCGTCACGATCACTCATAGCGATTTTAATTGGCCGTACCCGGTACCGCTGATTGCAAAACCGGCACAACCACCAAGAAACACGGGAACTCGATTGTACATCCCTAGGATCGACCCTGAGGACTGTCCGTGTGACGAACATGGCCGACAAAGTAATAAAAATAGGTAAAAATAAATAATTTTTAAATGAAATAAGGAACCTAATTTACATTATAACTCTCGATGTTGATATTTTTTTTTTCTTTTTAAATCCATACAGGTACAAATATTTGGCTGATAAGGAACGACACTTTCTGGATCAATTGACGAAAGTGAATCGCGAAATGACAAATCTAACGAAGACTATGCTAGACGCTAAATGCGAGCCAATCGACGAGACGATGAAGAGTATTTATAAAGCGGATTACGCGAAGAGAGGTATGGAATTGCGTTGAACAAAAGATGAAACTCGTCGAAATAATTCGTTCGAATGAATTCAGGATTGCCTATCAAAGAGTACAGACAGCTACAAGCCGCGGTTGACTCGCTGTACTGTTCACCTTTTCCGGCGGAAGTTACGGAAATAAAGGATGGATACAGAGATCCAACGAGATTTCGATACACAGCCATCGAGAGACCGTATATTCAGCCAGCCAGAACGATCAATTTGTTCCAAGGTACGGTACATTTTTGAATATTTATCTGAAATCATTAATACGAAAAATACTCTAACTCTATATCTCCGTGAAGCGGAAAATATAGAAGATAATTATGAACACAATTTTGACTAGAGAATGGTTAGCCCTACGGACGATTATCCTTTTAGTCGCTTTTTACGACAGGCCTATTCTTATATCCCCGTAAATATTTAATTTTTAAATATATAATACTTAAATATTATTACTTAAATATTATACTTAAATATTATTAGTATCTAAAGCTACTGTGTAATATAAGGTACTGTGTAAGGTATCATAATATTTAATTTTTAAATATATAATACTTAATACTTGAATATTATTAATATCTAAAGGTACTGTATAGAAATTTTCTATAAAAGAGAAAGTTCTGCGGAATATTTTTAGATTCTTGCTTACAAGTGGCAAAAAGTGAGAACTCGATATTACGAAAACACATTTATAGTTCCAGAATCTTTCTCTATGTGGGAAACGCCTTTTACCGGCCGTTCAGAGTATACGGACACTATTAGCAAAATGGGTCTGAGTAACATGAAAAATCGTCAACAATATCTGGAACCGTTACCCTCGTCGAGAAGAAGATTTGGGGACTGTAAATTATAAATTCGATTCATTAAAAATTCCTCTCATTAGTCAAACTATCGATTTCTAAGATGAAACTGTAACACACGTTCAATTGTAATAAAACTAATTTATATAAATCCTCTGTGTTCTTAACTTTTTGAACTTACCAAAGAAAATATGAGCAACATATGGAATAGAATAATATGAATAGAACTTTCGAAAAAAATGCGCCAAAAAAAAAATATACATATGAAAAAACATATGATCACTATCATTTATCGATTATTATTATAACCAATCATCAAACCATCGAAAACATCAAAATTATAATCTAATTTTTTATATCTTGTGTGTTTTTCTTAATTTCTTCCATCTTACAATGACGAATCTCTGTGAATTCTTTCCTACAGAATATACACGCAACTATAGGAAGAAAAAGATAAAACCAGCTGTGATGTAAAAAAAAAAAAAAAA